ACCGGCGGCGAAGGGAAAGGAAGGGAAGGTTTTGAAACGTCCTAATCAACGGGCGGTCACGCGGCGGCGGCCATGCGAAAATGTCACGCCGCACAGGTACTGCCGCGTTGTTTCCGATTAAGGGCGATTTACCCTTTGTTTACCATGATTAATATATACACCGTTTCGTAGTGCATGAGGCTCGGCAGAGTCAATATTGGTACGCACGTCCGTGCAGTGCGTGCGGCGCAGTAAATAACGGGCGATATTACCGATCGATGCGCCATATAACCACCAGCAATTAGCGAATCGGCATTAGCGCACCTGTTCGCTGCGCTCGCGCGGCCGCTTTTATGATAATCCATTCGCAAATTAATTAATAACGTCGCCCCGACCTCCCGTCCCCCTGTCGCACCGCAACCGTATTAAATCGCATCGTTTCGCCATTTCTCATTTTCCCGCGGATTCGACGATGAGATTTAGAGTCCGCGAACGTCGCGCGACTTTTCAACCGTCCTGCACGGCGACGGTTCCACCACTCGGCCGCGAGTAAGTCGAACGAACGATCGCGGAGCGATCGCCCACGTTTTACAAACGTCACAGCCCCCATTGCCATTCCGTGCGCCCGCGCGGCCGAATGTTTATTTATACTGATCGAACGTTAATTTATTAACGAGCGGATGGAGTAATTAAAGCCAACATCCCGTATTGGCGTTGCTGAATGATTGAAGCGGCTCGATGGATATTGAAGTGTAATTAGCTGTATCGGAGATTTCGCGTAATTGCGTTCATGGCTCCGGGAGTCGACGTTGCGGACGGGTGTACGGCGCGGCGCGCGATCCAGATATCGGTGAGCTGGAACGCGCTAGATTTGTGGCCGCCGCCAGTTGTAATTATTAATTTTACCGCGCGCGTACCGGCACCCTCTCTCTTTCTCGAATCCGGCCATCGTCGAGCTCGTAAGTCACCGGGCGCTTTCCCACGAATCCGATCCAACTGGAAAATTAATGCGGGCGCGTTACCGCGCTGAAAACGCTCGTTCCGCGCGGCCATTCATCGCGGCGCGCCCCAACGCGAGAGAGAGAGAGATCTCGATGCACGTGGCCCCCGATCGATCCCAATCACGGTATCACCATAGCATAACTATTCATTTGTTTCGTTTCGCGTCGATCCCTTCTGCGCATCCGACATCGATTTGGTTCCAGGGCCCAGAAAAGTTGTATGTGTGCACGGAGAGACCGATATGGTTACCGCATGTCTAGGGGTTGGCACAACCCCAATAAATAGTAATATTTGGGACAGCTATATCTGTGGTTGTCATACCCATAGACATAGTAATACTGGACCGAGCGTTTTAGGTAGAAAAAGATAGTGAGGGGGAAAAAAGTGGGAAAGCAAGGAAACACGTGTTCTACCTAACCGAATACTACAATCATGACTGCAATTACTTCTGCAAGCAAATACTTCTTAGCGAAATAAGAAAAATATATTTTTGAGGAAATCTAACGGCTCTTCGAGGTTCAGCAGCGTCGCATATTTTGAAACGTGCGTATAGGAGAAAATTATTTGCAACCGAGTGAGATTATTTGTAACCAGATGAAACCAAACGAAATCGTGTAATCGGTGGGACAACATCTTAGTGGTTAACCCCTTGGTGAAATCGGTGTGCGGCTGTGTAGCTTTGACGAGTAAGTGCAGTGATGGACAGAACGGTCGCGACACTCTCTTCTCTAACGAGTTTAGGAACACGCATTTAGATCGACGAATCAAAATCTTCTTCTCCGGGGAATATTTTACTCGACGGCCATTCCGAGACCATTTTGAGCGTTTCCGGTCTATCTCTATCTCTCTCGAGTGCCTAAACTCGTTGAAAAGGAAAAGCGTCGCGGTCATTCTGTCCGTCACTGTACACACACGCACGCACCGCTGGATTGCTGACCGAAGCAATGGCGGAATACCACGTGAGCGGGACCGAAAAGATCAAAGGGCCGACAGAGAGTGAACGTACTATAGTTACACTATGGTATCACCGCGCTATTTGGGGAAGGGAACTTCCGCGCGACGTTTCCGTCTCCCCCGATTCCCGTTCTCGATTTTAACGCGAGGGATCTTGTTTTACTCCGTCTACCTCTCCGGAAGATCGTCAAATATTCGGCGAGTTTCCGCCGCGGACGGTTTCCCCGCGAAATCCCCGGGTCCGCGCGACGCCTCCGCGAACTTCGTCTCGCCGATTCGTGCTTCGCGAACGCGGCTCATTAATATTCATTGTTATTTGAAGCTCGGCAACGGAGAAACGAATTAGATTGCCTTCGCCGGCAAGCGCGCGACCGGCCGGGAAACGCTTCCGAAAGGGAATATCCTTTCGGGCCGTCGCCAAGTTCGAAATCGAATTCCCCGCGACCATCTGGATGCGGAAGTTCCGGAAACTTAACCGTGAAGAGAGCGCACGGGAGTTACGAAAATAATACATATTATATCGGAAACGCGAGCCGGCTACGGCGTAGACAACCGCGGGGACGTGTACCGCGACGACGAGAAAAGCGAGGGCCCCGAAGAAGGAAGACGCTGCTTTACATTTCTTTCGCTCCGCGAGTTTTCCCGCGGGATATTAGACGCCACCCCCCCGTTTCTCCAGACGCTCGCGGGGCGCGGCTTCGTCAAACAGGAAGATAATGCTCGTTTATTCTGGTTTATGGGCTCGATTCCTTATTTATGACAATGAGAATTCGGGGAAGCCTTGAGGAAAGAACGGAAATGTTCCGCGGGAGGGAATCCTGCTACGTAACATCGCGGACGGGATTCCTCGCCGAGGAGGCTGCGACTTCGCTTATTATTAAATCAGTCTCGGCGCGAGACGGAGATGCTCGTCGATCGACTCGGAGGACGGACTCTTTGGGGTGGGAGAGACAATTCCGACCGGTCGTCGGAAATCGCCCCGATCGAAATTGGGCCTCGCCCCTTCCGTAGAATCGCGGCGCGAACGTTAACGGCGCGGATTATTATGTACTCGCGATTCCGATCGTACGTTCCGTTCGTTCGAAAGCTGCAAAACGATACTACCCGCGCGAGAGCTTTGCAATCGCATATCGCGATACCGGACCGGCGTATTTCCCGACCGTACCGTTCGCGCGATGCGACTCGCATTTCGCGCTCCTCTCGCCTTTTTTTTTTACCGCGAACCCGCGAGGCGCAATCGAGGTATGATTTTTCACCGCGGATTTGCGAGACGCGTCGCACCGGCGCGGTGCGGCGCGGCGCGGCGGCGCCCTATAAATTCGACAGTGCGTACAGATAACGGGCAAATCTGCAAACAATGCCGCAGAGCCAATAAACTCGTCCGGCGCCATACGAGGAAGGAGTTTATCGGTTTTGCGCGAGAATTATCTCAACTGATTGCTTCCTCGCCCGGTGGCGCGTTCGCGCGTACCGCGGGAGGCAGAGGTGTCGCGCCCCCCCCCCTCCCGCCTTTACGTCTGCTCGCGCGACAGAAAGATTGTCGTATACGATAAGACTACTGTGACAAACCGTGCGTGTCGGCGAAGACCTACGCGGCGTGAGCGATCGCACGTCTCCATGTTGATTTTCCCGGCGCATCGCGATTACCGGCGATCGCCGGTCCGCTCCAATGTAATTGAGTTCTCGCGTGCGCTAACGAGAACCCTTTCGGGCCGCGCGGACAACGCTCCGCGACGCGTATGATTGATAACGGCGGATAACGACGTAGCGCGTGCCATTTTATTCCGCGGAGCGTCGCGTCGGCGCGAAAAGAACGGCGATAAGCTGGTCGAGAGATCCCACGACGCCGCGGGAATACGCGACAGGGACAACAACTGCGCGTCCGACATCGTACGCGATCGTCGCGAATGTACAATATAAATGGCACGAAGCCGGGCTTCGCAGCTCCGTCGTCGGCGAAGACGTTCCCGACTCTATAAAGGTGCGCGGGAGGGAAAAAAAAATACCGGAGGGGCGGTGAGGTACGGGCGGTAGAAGTGCGGAAGCAGGCGGAAAATTGCCGAGAACTTCTTGTTATTCCGACGAAAAGTTCCGCCATGCTGATTGGATGATAATGAGCCTCGAAAAGTGCGAAAACGAACCGGCTTGCCGGTCGACTTCGAGCAGAACTTTAAGAGCGGAACAGCCCCGGCGTGTTGTTATGACGTCAGGCGTCTCCACCCGCGGAACTTTTTTATCTTCCAATCCACTTAATCCGAGGAAGCCGAGCTTCCTTATCGCGCGCGGCCAGGTGAGCCTCGCCTCCTCCGTTCGTCCCCGCTGTCGCCCGAGGGGGAAACTCCTCGCAAAAATACGCAATTATCGTTACGTCCTATTTGCCGACGAAACGGCAGAAATCCATTCCGCGGACTGTCGAACCCGCTCCGCAATTTCATTCGAGTCGCGCGGTTCCCCGGTATACGGGGTGGCGGGAAGTCAGCCTCGCGCCGACTAAAGCCCGTATCAGACTACAGACTCCCGACTCTGACTCGACTACTGACTCGGACTCCCGACTATGATTCAACCAATTGAGCCCGTATCAGACTACAGACCCCCGACTCTGATGCGGGGTCTGCAATGAGAGTCGCAGGGTCGTAGTCGTAAGAATAATCGACTGTAATTGGTCAATTCAGTCAGACACGTAAGAATTAACCAATCATAGTCGACTATTCTTACGACTACGACTTTACGACTTCTATGTAGACGAGGGTTGACTCGACTACTGACTCGGACTCCCGACTATGATTCAACCAATTAGAGTGGCGTCTATTCCCGAGTCGGCAGTCAGGGTCGACCGGTGTTTTGCTGTGATTGGTTGAATCATAGTCGGGAGTCCGAGTCAGTAATCGGGTCAGAGTCGGGAGTCTGTAGTCTGATACGAGCTTAAGGGGCAGAGCACGAAGCAACGTATAGCTTACGCAAGCGTAAACGTAGATAGCGCACAAGCTTTAGCGTAAAAGTAACGCTATATGTAATTGGTAGAGGTGTGACATTTTGATGTTATTTTTTAGCATTTTTTGCATTTTGTTTTTCCAGATTTTACGTTATTTTGATGTTATATTTTAGCATCGTTTGCGTTTTGTTTTTCCAGATTTCTTGCGTTATTTTGACAATGTTTTTGATAATGCCGTGATCAGAGGCAAACTTGGTTTAATTCGTTCTTTGTCTCTTTCCAACTGTTACTTTAGAAAGAGGCGAAGAAGAAATTAAGCTCAAAGCTAAACAACGCGGTGAAACCGGGCCTTGATGTTTTGCTAGAACAACTTAAAATTACATATCATTTTCAGGCTACAAAAGCAGTAAGATGTCTAAAAGAAGTAAATAAAAACTAGTCTTAGGCATAAATCTCTTTGGTTTAGGATACAACATAGACGTTAGAAATATTTGCTAAGAAAAATTGCGATTTTTAACGTTACTTGAACGCTACTTGGCGCTATTTTGCTTTTTAAAAACGTGTTAAAACGAAGCTGGGGACTCCAAATTGTAAAAAAATTACATTAAAAACGTTCTTGGGGCATTTTGCGTATAAAGATACCGTCAAAATGTCACGCCGCTAGTAATTAGAGGTAAGTGTGCTCTCTACGTTTACGCTTGCGTCTTTGTCGTAAGCCATTACGTTGCTTTGTGCTCTGACCTTAACACGCCGCGAGATGGTCCGCGACGTAGTCCGCTTCTTCGCGACACGCCGAGAGATGCGGACAAGGGGGTAACCACTTAATCTAATCGTGGGACAGTGTCTCCAAAATCATTGTAAAATCTTTATGAAATCCCTATATCCCTTTGTCTTTATCTTTAAGTTTCTTCACTTGTTAGACAATAAACATTAAATTTGACATAAATTCACTTGCTCGACTTGAGAAAGTTTTGGTGAATCTTTGAGATTAACGTCACATATTTTCAAACGTATAAGAAAATTATAATTAGATGAAAGTATTTTTAATCGGATGAAATCCTGTAATCGGCGGGACAACATTTTAGCTGGTGGTTGCCCCCTTGGGTGCGGAGTTTGAAGGAATCGCGAGGACGAAAATGCATTCCTTTTGCCGAGCGTCGACGCATCAGTCAAATCTCGCCCGCTAAATTTCAACGTGACTTTCCGACCACCTCGTATACCGTGTATCGCGGCAAGAATAGAAATCTCTTTGGCGTTCGATTACTAAAGCTATTGGCGGGGCGAGATTTATTGACGCTATCGATTGCCGAATGCCCCGGCGCGGCGTGTTAGTGTTGGAAATGTTAGCTCGCATTCGTTTCGCGCTCGTAATACGTTCAACATCGAGAAGCGCATGAAAGCGGACAGTGCGAATGGATGCAGCTAGAGAGTTTGCCAACAGTTTACGCAAAAAAAGGGGAGGGGGAGAAAAAACTAGGGAACATTGAAAGCTGTATGAATCTGTAATTACCCCGCTTTGCGACCTCCCGTTGAACGATTTCTTTAAAAAGCAGAAAGAATAGTTGGGTTAATCACTGTGATGATACACCTCCCACGTGCGTGATTATATCGACGTCGAGCTTCTGGCGAGAAGTCTCTCTTAAAATAACGTCTGTTATGTATGTGAAAAAGACATTTGCAAGTAAGATCGCGATACGGGTCTTGTTTTGTCGTGGCTGCATACATAGATAACTGAATGTACTTCTGTTAGGATCTAAAAATATGACCGAAGGATAAGCGAAGCTAATATTTCACTAGCCAGTGGATTATTAATAGCGGCTAGAATTTACTAGCGGCAACCGCACTTCAGTGGATGTCGAATAAAACTGGTTATTTTTATGAAAAATCCACTGACTACCGAGACATATGACACTATGAATTTGCTGTTACAGACTCGTGAACTCATTCTGTTTCGTTCGTAAAATTAATTTGTTCAGTCAACATTAGATTGTGCTTGAAATGGGCCCGATAAAGAGGTCGAAATGTCGTGACAAATATATATATTATTTTTTGTGCCAGCTTGGTCGATTTTTGAAACAATTCCCCCGTGTTCAGTTACCACTGGCGACAGTAAGCCTCACTCAATTTGGTTAATATTTCAGATACGATGTTTTATCTGTTCGAGAAGATAAGCACTTCGAAGATGACCCGGCAATTAGTTAATATCAGTTTATAGTTTTACGTTAATCTCGTCAATGTAATTTCGCACGGAAAGAAGGAAACGGACTTACTTGGCTGACGCTCTTGCTCTTGATCTTCTCGAGGGTTAGCCGCTCCTTGACGTAGTGGAGCTTGAGGATTTCCCTCATGCGGTTCTTGTCCTGCAGCATCTGCTTCACGCCCGGCTCCTCCAGCGCGTCGTTGCTGGGCGCGAAGAGGGTAACATCAGTCAGCTGATTGATGGAGGTCATAATGTCGTCCCCGAAATCGCGGATGGTCTCGTAAAACTTGTACACCGGTCCATCCTCCTTTTCCTACACGAGAGAAGAGACTTCTGTCGATCGGTTACGCATTACTCGCCGCGCCTCGGTTTTACGAGGAGCCATGTCGAGAGAAAAAAAAAGACTCAAACGGGAAAAGCAAGAGAAACTGAGAGAATGAGAGACAGAGAGAGAGAGAGAAAAAAACGGGAGGTAGGGAGAAACGTAAAAGGTTGGCATCGAGATTACTTATGAGAGCGGTCGATGGCGTCCAATTTCGGCCCGAAGTCATTAACGTTCCATTACGAGTTAATCAAAGAGGAAAGGACACCATTTCGCAGATTAAGACGTAATTGGAATTTTACATGAACCGCGCGCCGAATCTCTGGGCGCCATTTACTCTCCGGGGGAGAAACATTGGAAAAGCGAGAAAAATAAGAAAAGTTAGAGCGGATCCGGAAGAGAGAAGTTGGACGGTCGGGTTAACAGAAAGAAACAGGTCAACGGGCGGCGAGTTCACGAAGCTCTCGACTTTTCGTCGCGTCCTCGGACAGTCCTGTCGCGCCCCTCGTTACTCGATTTTCCATACATTTAATCGTCCGTTATTCTCGCGAGCCGCGTCCGAATGGAATTCCTGAGCGAAAGCTTACGGAACTTATTACCGAGCCCTCCGCGCGCCGAGTGAACGGAAAACGAGCGGGCGTGAGAGCCACGTAATCTTGAAAAATAAAATCCTTTGTGGGAGGCGACGATTGCGCCGCGAGGACGCTAAGAGATCCCCCGAGAGATCGCTTAAAATGAAAAATACTTGAAATTCAGAGGGTCGGCCGCGAGACAGAAACCGTCGCAATTAGATCGACGTAACGAACTTGAAACTCCGTGCAACTCGCGCCGCGTGGAAGAGACGGAATGAATTACTTATGGGGAAGACACAGGGGTGTAGGGGGAGAAAAGAAAGCGTGACTGGGACGTGACCGTTAGTGGTTCACGGAAGCGGCAACATTACGTGACGCACATAATTTACGTTCTTCCCCCGGAATTGCCCCGGACTGTCGATCGCGCTTCCCGTACGGACGGGAGGAAAGCCACGTGGCACGATCGAAAAGGGGATTTGGTATCAATCCCACCGAAGCAAACAAAACTTATTGGATGTAGAACGTTAACTCGTGTCACGCGATTCCCCGATGGTGCCGTATGAGAGTCTGGAAATACTCCGTAATATGAAATGCGATATGTCAATGCCGCGTCAATACCAGAATCAAGACGATGCATATCGAGAATGCCATCTCTTAAAAAAAAAAAGAAAAAGAAGAAGAAAACCGAGAGCTCCTCTCCCTTAGGAATGTCGATAGAAGTGTCATATTTAGATGGGGATGTCATCGGAAACTATTAATTTGCCTCTCCTTTCTTGCACAATATGATAAGACCTTGCGAATTAAAGACGAGTCTGAAAAACGTCTCCGGGAAGCGAGGAGTAAGTGGGTCATAATTCGGCAAGTACTTGTTCCAGAGTATGCGCGCTGTTTTCCCTTCTCTTTTTTTTTTCCTTAATAAATCTCAACCGGAGATCGTGCATTTTCTAACGAAATATGCGACTTACACGAGACGTTTTGGGAGAAATGAAAGATTCAGACATGTAACCCGACAGGGAATGGTTAAGAGATAGATTTTCTCCTTAAAGATCTCGGCGGGAGGAGCACGCGAAAGGGTCTTACGGGGTCTCTCTCGTGAAAGACACGCTTTACGAGATATCGTAAAGAAACTGCTGGATGTTAAAAATTTCGCGAGGTCGTGGGGGAATAACACACAAGTTAAAACGGACACCTCCGTACCCTCGTACAACTCCTGTCGGATCGCATTACACCGAGGGTGGAAAAAAGCCGGGGCCTGGTAATTAACGAGGCGGCAGTTAGCTATTCACGAGCCCGCAGCTTCGACGTGGTTCTCGGTGCCCATAGACGAGCTTAATGGGAGAGAATGACCGGAAAAGAGATGGGAAAGGGGTGGGTTTTC